GGAACCCCGTAGCCAAGAGCCCCCTACCGCCGCCTCGCCTTGTCATGGGCTGCTGGCTGTGCGCTTCCGCCTCTGCCCTAGTACAGGCTGTACAAATAACGTTTTCTATAAATCGTTCTCTCTGCCCCCCCTCCTGTAGGGACTCAAAAATTCGGACGACCACTAGATGGCACCAAAGAGACACATTAAGACCTTTTTACGGGCCCGCAAAGATTCTATTCATTTATTGAATCTGTAGGCTGCGCAGAGTCATTGGGAGTTGGGAGGCGTACAAATTTAATAAATAAAGTTGCAGTTTTCTGGTGGACTTGGGATAAAGTTCCAGTGGGCATAAGTTGTGCCTTTTTAACCTCACAACCACTTACTGCCATGTAAATGTGATGTTTGACTAATCCATTTATTTAGTGGACATTGCATTAATTTCAGTTAAATGTATTTTGGGCTGCAGTTATGGAAATAGCTTCCTCTGGAATTCTACAGGTCTTATTTCTTAATAAATTTATAGAATACAGTATTCAAGCACCTCTTCAGGGATGTTGGAATATCCTTTGTATTTGGTTTCTAAAGCATATGAAAAAGCAACACATTCCATTTCTGTATTACTACCAAAAATGTGTTTAAAAAATGCATAAGTGCTGGTAATGACAGCAACAATAAATGTTGAAACTAGTGGTTTTGTGCACCAGAGGAGTTTTTGAAATACAGAGAAATTCTGAATTAGGGTCCTCAAAATTCCATTCAGGGTAACAATTAACAGTTTAGAGACCATATGTTCTTTTAAAATCCAGATTTTTTTAGACTCTGGCTTTTTTAATACAAATTTTATTTCCCTGGGGATGATCAGCTTTTAAATATTTGAGCTTTCCTAAGTTATTTCTTATTTTGCATTTAACTACAATCTTCTTAATTTGTAATTATTAGCATAGATAAAATAATATAAATATGGTATACATAAAAAATAAAAAAAACATAGCAGGTGAGATTCATTACAAGTGTTTTCCTTCCCAGAAATTGTTATTCCTACTTTTAGTCAAGCACCCTAGTCACCCTTGCCTAGCTGTTGTTCACCTATTTGAGCTGCAGCTATTTAACTGATTATCTACATCTATGTTATGCTTATATGTACTTTTATTGACTATTATTATCCATTGTTAGAGCCTCTTGTAATATAACCAGTATTGCAACTGATCTTTTTAACTCTTTTGCTTTTATGTCATAATCACTCCTTTATATATTATTCAACTCTATGCTATAGCATTATACTCCCTTTAGTCACAGTATTAATGTTAAACATAGTTTATAGATTTTAATATTTTATATTTCAAGTTAGCTATTTTTATTATTCTGAATCATCACTCTATAGTTCTACTTAAGCTTACTAATTTTCACTACATTCGCTCCTGTGTTTAAAATTTTAAATGTATAATTTTACTTGTATTGGTGTCATGATTTTATAGTTTGTGTTAAAAATAATTTACAGTACACAGGTTACACTATTATTTCAATGTAACCGGTGTACTATAGGGGTGGCTGAAATCCTAGTTTTCAAAGCCTTGTTTTGCTGGCCGATTATCAAAATAAACAGACTTACTATAGACATTTCCCTGCTGAGTTCAGGGAATTTATCATGTTTCTCTGATTTGTCATACTTCTTCATTTTATCTTGAGAAATGTAATAGTTTTATATTCCAGGGTGTCTACCAAAGAAATCAAAACCTGATCCAAAAGATAGTTGCTTTTTCAATTTAAGATTGGTTCAGGAATGTCTCATGTCATAATATTCTGTATCAGGCACCACTTAAAAATACTGAACTTTTAAAAGTGGGTGGATACAATGTATTAAACCATTTAAAAATTGAAATGAGTCACATTATAGCTTATTGTGTTGTCTCAAACAAGTCAATATGTGCCGTCACTTTAATCAAAGGACCTACATCCAGAGTACTTCTTCCTGATTTAACATCAGAAGTTATTTAAAATCAAGTTATGATGATATGCTCATTTGTGCACTAGACTATCAGTGATGCTGATAAACATTAGTCTCTTGTGTAAGTGGAGCATGTGAGTTCCCCTTGCTCCTGATTATTGTGCATTAATTATGCTGCATGTTTTTAAGCACTGGCAGAGCTGAATAATAAATAATTCTGAATTCCCATATTCTTCAGATCCATATTAATAGCAGTTAGTTTCTGAAGCCCAGAAAGGAAAATATTCTAAGTTTAAATGGTGTCTTATCTCCAAAAGGTTATATCTTCAGTTTTGCTACAACGGCTACAAAAAAGATATCTGAATCAGTTGCTGAAACAGCACAAACTATAAAGAAGTCTGTTGAAGAAGGAAAAATAGAAAATATAATTGATAAGGTATTTTTTGTTGTAAATAAGTGCCTATAAAAATTTATGTTAACTTATTCTGCTTTAAGTCATTTTGAAGACTACTAGTTTTATAATTTTGGCAGATGGTAGCACCTAGGCTCAGATGCTAAGTAAGGTCAAGCCAGCATAATATTTGGATGGGATATCACCAGGAAAGTCCAGGGCTGTAGGTTAGGGTAGAAAGTTGAAAAATCTCCGGGAAGAAGGTAATGGCAAATCACTTAAAATCATATGATTGTGTCCATGTAGTTACTTAAACTGAGTTGGGCTTGGAAAGAGGCTTTATGGAATTAATGCCACTGGCTTTATTCCTAAAGAGAATTGTCTTTATGCTACTAATCTTACAAGTTTGTTTATATTAGGTATATTGATGTTTATAGGTTTGGTAGCAATTAAAATGTATATACTTTACATTATACAGATAAGTCAAACTGAGTACAATTCAAGAATGAAGTCCTTTTACATATTATGCTTATAAAACTGCATCTAGTGCTACTAATTGAGTCTCTACGGTATACACATTAATTTTTTATATCAAATAAGACAAGACTATGGCCTACTTCACATAACCGTATATTGAGCAAACACATCATAAATATTTTAATTATAGTTACCTGCTTTAAAACAAGCAGGATATTATACCACTGTTCAATTGATCTGGAACTGGTTTCCAGGTTTAGATGAAGAAACATGTGCTGTTTATCAGCAAAGAACTTATTTGTTAAGGTATAATAAGATACTTGTTAAGCTAGGATATTATAATCTGAATGTAGAGAAAGTATTGAATTTGGATGGCATTGCTAATATCTACAGAAATGAAAGTCATGCATATTTGGTAAGTGTGAGCATATGCAGAAGGAAAAGATTTATCTGCAGGGTTCATTAAAAGAAATATATATTGTCCCCAAACTATTTGTTGTTTCTGATACCTACTATTTGAGGCTGTAGATGTTTTGCATGGCTTAAAAGACTTGATGTGGAAATGCAATAGGCTTGCTTTTTTATATTTTATGCTAAAAACTCTGAATCTTGGATCACCCATTTTAAGGTGGAATAATATTCCTTTTTCTCTCAAGCCTTTAAATTTTAACTATGTGAGTAGTAAAAATAAAAACACAAGTCATGGTATTTAAGGGAAGGAGAAGACACATGCAGCCTGCACGCATATTCCTCTAATCAGAAATCCTTTGATAAAAGACAGATATATTTATGTTTGCTACTTTGGGGTACCACTGAAATATGTAAATCTTACTTTTAGTCTTCTTGACTTTCTACTACAGGCTATATAAAGAAGTTCTAATATTTAACATAAATGAAATGTTAATATTAATAAAAGTCTGAATAGTTTGTCAACTTTTTTTTTAGAAACTGTCCACATTGTGTAACAATAGCAGAAATGACTATTTTTCAAATGCTGATCTAACCTTTTCATTTTTTGTATTTACTTTTTGTTGAAGACAATTATAGGAGACTTTCAGAAGGAACAAGAAAAATTTGTTCAACAGCAACACACCAAAAAATCAGGTATTTTTTAAATTGGCTACAAAAGAAGAATAATCATCATATTAGAAAGAGAGTAGAGTAGATTGGATAGTATGGGTGTTGGAAGGGGGCAGGCTTTTTCCGGGCACATAAGCAGAAAAACACTTGCAAGATATTGGATGGAACAACTTGTATTAAAATAGCTGATTTTTTAAAAGTCTGTCCTATCAGAAAAACAGAAAATTAAGATTGAGTTTCATATAACATATGAAGTTACATTGTATAAGATGTGCTAAATCCTAAAGTAAAATGTGTGTTATAATACAAGTAATGTTTACATATTTACAAATCATAAAAATAGTGCATTCCTTATTTGTCCAACAATTTATATTTTTATGAAAGACAAAAAGCTTTTATCTTGCAACATAATCTGAAACAGCTCCTTGTATTGTAAAAGTATTTTGTAGCAGATTTATATTATGTTCTTCCTATAATGAATTAAGAGAAGCATACCCAGTCCCACCAACTTCAATTCTGTTTTTAGAACATTGTGTGAAAATATTGTCTGTCTGCATGTGTGTGAGAGGGGGAAAGAGAGAGAGACCCAATCCAATCCATATGAATTTTGTTGGTCCTAATTTACAAAACTCCTAGTACATTCCAGTGGCTCTGATAAATAAAGTTCTGGGGTTCTAACTAATATTAAAGACCTCAGACATCAACCACTTGCATAAACTCCACAAAAATGAACAGTGGCAGCAAAAGAATGCTTGGCTGGATTGTATTTCTAGTTGGAGATCTTGCAGTTCACATCTATTACTAAAGATAGTTTTAATCAAATTATAGGTAATATCCCTGGTCAAGAATATGGCATTCAGATCCTTGCTTCCCTCCAATTAGCAAAATTGACAGGAATCAAGTGTGCATGCAAGATCAGGAATTATATGCAGAAACCTACTGCTTTCTGTACATATATTGGGACTGAAGCCATTATTGGTTCTTAAGAAACATCAAAATGCTACAAAAATTATACTTTTTCCTTCAAAATAAAATGTGTGCAGTACATGTATCATATATATATTCAACTATTCTGTTTTAGAAATGTGTGGGTTGGTTATAGGGCAGAATTTTACAATTTTCCTCAAAGTATTCCTTTTCGGCTACAGAAACAGCTGTGCCTCCATGGGTAGACAGCAATGAAGAAGAAACAATTCAGCAACAAATATTGGCCTTATCAGCAGTACGTGACAGGTTTTTTGCTTTTTATCTCTTGAACCAGGAATGGGAGAAAAACTATAGTTCAGCAACCTCTGGAGAATCATAAACTTCCCATTCCTAGCTTAAGCTATTAATTTCTTGAAAATATAGATGTTTTGTTACCTAAAGCAGGACTCTAAATATTCAGATATGATGTGGTAATAACTGTTTAAAAATCCCTGATACAATTAAGAACAGTCATAATTAATAAAACTACTCATTAAAGTGTGTTCATGATGTAATTCATTTCTCAAAATAACGCCTTGACAAATATTCTTTCAAGATAACAGCTTTCAACCTCTAACAACCACATTTTATTTTACAAAGGACAGAAGAAACTTTCTGCGTGACCCACCAGCAGGGGTTCAATTTAATTTTGACTTTGATCAGATGTATCCAGTAGCCATGGTGATGCTTCAAGAAGATGAACTTCTAAATAGAATGAGATTTGATCTTGTTCCAAAACAGTGAGTTATCCACCTATTTTTGATAAGCTATTTTCTTACACTTAGCTATGAAGAAAAAATAGTTGCTTGAAAGTTATCACTTATTACTATCTGCTTAATATTTCCTATTAAAATAAGACTTGATAAATAAGGTGTGATGCACTGTTCAAGACTAGTTTCAAACTATTTAAAATTATGAATTATGCAATTATGAATATTAATTTTTAAAAGAATTTCTGTATCAGATACTTGTACTATTTGTCATTATGCAAATAACATACATTGACACAAATGATGTAAACTGACATAAATTGAGCATAATTTGATGTAAATTTAAGTTACTCATCTGGATAACTTTGAATGGAACAGACTTGGATATTAGGATATACACTTGTCTATGGCATCTAGTCTACTAAATAGGGATCTCTTAAATTAAGATTTTATTGTTTCATCTATTTCCAAAGAAAGTAATTCTGAAGTTTCTCAACAAGGTCCCGACAAGTGTAAGCATTTAGCTGACCTTGCCTGACCTAGAAAAAAAACTAAGTAGGTTGGACCTGGATTGTATTTTTGATGAGAAATCCTAGGGCAATGGCAAACCTCTTCCATACTGATGTCAAAAAAACAACATATATCAATTCTATGGAAACCTTAGTTATAAGAGCTATCGCATATATAAGATTGTAACATACATGCATACATACATACGTATATTATATACACATACGCAGACACACATCCTAAGGTATTCTCTGTGTGTGTGTGTGTGTGTGTGTGTACGTACATATACACGCACAGATTCATTTAATCCATTCAGTTCCATCCTTTTGGAATAACATTGATTATATTTTCCTTCCTGCTTCACGTGCAAATGCATGAACTATACCTAACTAGTGGGATAAAATGAGTTTCTTAGACTGCATCCCCCCATACCATGTAAAAATATTGACTGGCAATTAAGGCAAATCCTTATACATAAAGTCTGTATACCCAGTGTTATAAAGTAAATACTTACTAACAAAAACATATGTGCTGCCCTCAGTGTAAAGGAAGAGGTGTTCTGGAGGAATTATTTTTACCGCGTCTCCCTTATTAAACAGTCTGCACAACTTACAGCACTGGCTGCACAACAACAAGCAGTGAGAAAAGAAAAGAATGGCAGTGAAGAGGATAGACAACTAACAGGTAGCTATTGCTTTAAACGAGCATTTTAAAATTTAGGTAATTTTTCCCTTAGTTTTTTTTTTTTTTAATCCAAGCTTTTTACATCTTCAATCTCATATGAAATATTCCTTAGATAAGTGGGAGATATAGAAAATTTCAACAATATTTTTGCACTAAATTATTATAGAATATTCACTCTAGGCAGGGTTCAGGGTGGCCAAAAGGGCAGAGATGGAGGGGAGATGGGCAGGTGGTAGGAGTTGGAGGCCATTCCTTTACCTTACTGATGCTCAGGGCTGGGAGGAACCAAGCCCGGAATGGCTTGGATTGGGGTGGGTCCTCAGCTAACAACCAGTGGAATTCACTTAGCAGCAATGTGGAGTGCCATCACTAAGCGATGCAGTCACATGACATCTTGCTTTATGACCGCATCACTTAGCGACATAAATTCCGGTCCCAATTGTCATAAGTCAAGGACTACCTGTATATAAGATGATATAGTGCCACTGTTGTGGGTCTAAAAAGAGAAGACAATATCCCTGATTGATTTCAAAATCTTACTCTGAGTACAGGTAGTCCCCAGTTTAAGAATGAGTTCCATTCCCAAAGTCTGTCCTTAAGTCAAATTTGTATGTAAGCCAGAACAGTATTATTGTATGATACTCTATAAGTAGTATTGCATAAAGAACTAGAACCATTTGTATTCAACTTGAATTTTGCTACAATAGGCTCCATTAACCCTGGGGACTACATGGTATATAATTATTAAATCCATGTAATTGTACTATATCTTGGGTTAAGAATTAAAAATTGTTCTGCATAGAGGTTTTACAATTCTGCTGTACAGTTCTGCTATTCATGGCATGCATGTTACTTCCTTTTGCTAAATCTGAAGCTCCTACATTCCTATCCTAAACCAAAGAGAATGGAAAGTTGCTCTTGCAGCAATTTCTGCCTATATTACAGCTTTAAAAGTCTCCAACACTACATTGATTAGGCAGGACAGGTGTTTTGGCAGCACAGAGCCATACCAACCACCTTTTTTTTCCAGGTCCAAATGTCAGGATAGCCAGACTGCAAACCAAACATTAAAATATTCCTCTGCTGAAGGAAGGAGAGAAGGAAATACAGAAGTATTAGGCTTGCTATTCACACATGTATTAACAGTAAATCACAGCTTGGTATCAATGACTATATAGTCATTCACATGCTTTAAAACATCACGCCTTGAGAGAAAATACCTTCAAAATTTCACAGTATCTATTTTTCCCCATAGACACTATGAGGCCAAAGACACCACCTGTTGCAATCAAATCTCAGCTGAAACGTCAAGAGGTAAACTTACTTTATAGTGAGGATTAAGGCATGCACTTACAGCTTAAGCATATTTAGAATTCCCAAAATCCAAACTAGTTTCTAATTGCTCCACAAAGCATTTACAGTATCTCTAAGCAAATTAGAGAGTAAAAAAAAAAATGGCTAAAATTAAGTCTGAATTGGAGTTTAAGAATTACCAACAGTAGAAACTCTTGTAAAAAAAAAAAATGGCTAAAATTAAGTCTGAATTGGAGTTTAAGAATTACCAACAGTAGAAACTCTTGTAAAAAAAAAAAATGGCTAAAATTAAGTCTGAATTGGAGTTTAAGAATTACCAACAGTAGAAACTCTTTTAGCTAGGACTTTGCTTAAAGCTACCTATTCAAGCCATATCTATTTTTCCTTGATCGTTCTTCTATCAAAATTATGTTTCTTAGCCTAGAAAATCCAAGGATGCACTGTAGTTAATACCAGTAATCTTTTCATAACAGTAGCACAGTGCAGTTTTTTCCTGCTGGATATCAGAGGTGACATGTTTAGAGAGGAATCCTAAAAACATTGTTGAAATCAGGTGGATATCAGATTGTATTCTTTCCTGCAATCTGCTGCTATAACATAGATATAAATATAGTTATTAACTGAATTACTAGAAAGTACAAGTGTTTTCTTGGTTTAGATATTCTGTACATGTGACCTCAGTGTTTTCCATTCTTCATAACAAGTTAATAGTATAAGTGCTTCAAATAACGTAAGGTTGTTATATTCTAAAATTACTCCTTTCTTTAAAATTATATTAAAGGATGATGAAGAGATTTCTACTAGTCCAGGTGTATCTGAATTTGTAAGTGATGCTTTTGATGCATGCAACCTGAATCAAGAAGATTTGAGGAAAGAGATTGAACAGCTTGTGCTTGACAAGAAAAAGGAAACAACTATAGTGGATGGTAAAAATAATTATTCTTCATATTCTAATAATTTGGTCCTGCTGGTGCAAAATCCCTAAAATAGTATTTTGTTAAAAGTGGCATTTGACTGTTCTTGGTCTTAAAAATGTTTTGTGTATTCAAGTATAAGATTCTGTTATCACTAAATTCCATATTGAGTATACAGTCCTATAAACTTGGGTATGCTTTGTTATTTCTACTTAGAAGAAACTGCAGACTGGGAAAAAGAACTACAACAAGAACTTCAAGAATATGAAGTAGTTACAGAATCAGAAAAACGAGATGACAACTGGGACAAAGAAATAGAAGAAATGCTACAGAGAGAAAATTGATCACTTTGCCTGGAACATTTTCCAGAAATTGACATGAACTTGTTCTTATACTCGCTTCAAGAACTTTCCTTGAGGCCCAAAGTTCTTTGTAAAATAAGACTCAAGGTGTTATATAATCAGGTACAAAAACTGTTCTCAGAAAATACTGTCTATAATCTAGCAAGCTGTAAGGCAATTCTTGCTTGTATGTTAGGGATTTTCTAATCATCCCAAATTTTCATAGTTAAATTGCAAAAGTGATTTTCAATTTAACACAAAGTAGTACTTGATATAGAAAGAGAAAGATCCACAGCACATGCACCTATATATAGAAATCTGTGCCTAGAATTATCTGGATCACTGTATTTGTATTTTACTTGTTTTGATATTTTCAGATGGTTAGAGAATACTAAATGAATGAGAAATGAATTCCTGACTGTAAGTAAAATTGTGACATTTCTTGTAGTAGAAAACTTGTATATTAACTACTTTCATAGAAGTAATGGCAAGTCATGTTGCTATTCTGCTACTTCTGTCCCATTTATAAATAATAACTTATGAAAATACATCTGAATATGAGCTTTTTCAAAAATAGATACTATAATGACATACACTTGCTTCTGTTTATAGTTCAAATGTTGCCTTTCATTGGTGCTTTTAAAATGTTATTTTAAATAGAAGCACTGAAGGCTTATACTAATTGTGTAGCTAACAGAAACATCAGTTGGATAATACCCTTCATTCCCATAGAAAGATATAATTTCAGTTTTGATTGATGACATTTGAACCAGCAGAGGATGCATGACTAACATTTGTTGAACAAAATAACATCTGAGATTCTATTAGGGAACCACTTTGAAGGTCATATCCAGAACCACAAGTTTTAAAAGGAAAATATCTTGGATCTGTTTAAGACAAAAGTATTCCTTCATTTAAAATTCTAAAATGTACAGAATACTTTATGATAACTATTAACACTTAAAGACAGATGCCATATTTATATTTAATGAGAAATTCAGGCTTAGCCTGTGCAACTATCATTAGGTAGTGCTATAAGACATGTTTATAAAGGAAGGCAAAGACTATATACTTACAATATACATTGATTTTGAAAAGGTGGTTGCTATTGAATCAGAGGCAATATTTCAGTTGATGAAGTAGCAGAGAAAATATGCTAAGTGAACTTTATAAAATGTTATACAAGGAGATCACTTACCTAACATTCCAGTAATTAGTTCCCTAGAGTACTAGGATGATTTTTAATAATAGGATATGGCTAAATCATTTACATTAATTTTGTTTGAAATATCTCATTAATTCCTAAATAATCTCTTGGAATTATAATGAACGGTTTTCATGTAGCCAGTAACCTGATTCTTTGAAATATTAAAATAATAATGTAAGCTCTTTTGTTTTATGCAAACCAGTACTCAAGAGAATTCAAAAAGTGTTGTAATTGCACCTTACAAATATATAAAGATAACAGTCACAAGCTGAGAAAAGTCATACTATAAATTAGAAAAGGGAACAAAACACAACTTTCCAGAACAAGAAATGTCAAAGGATAGATCATATAATATATACTATGGGAAGCTAGAGTTTAAAAGTTCTAACAAAATTGTGCATTAATAGTAACATTGGAAAGTTGATCCCATGTTAGACGACCAAAAATATTTATTGGAGACAGTTTTATTACACTCTCAGCTATTTTTTCCCCTTCAGGTAGCAAAATTTCCACTAGGCAGTATAGTTATTGGTCAGAGATTATATGAATTTCAGTCTTAAAAATGAGGTGTATATGAGACCGTTGTCAAATGTTATGGATATTAAAGTTTTTCTAATATCCTACTAGTTGCTGAAGTAGTTTTCCTTCTGCTTTTCACTTATATAATCAAAAAATATATTCTCTGATGTGGAAAGTATATATTTTGAGTTTCAGTGGTTTTGCTTCAGCATATTTTTGATAGCTCTTATTTTTCCACTATATTATAAAGACTATTCCTGATTTTAAAGTCACATTAGTTTTTTTCCTTAAAAAAATCTTCTGTTGAAAAATACTAATTTCACCAAGTTTTTTCTAAGTAAATGTTTGGTTGGAATTTCAGTACCAGATTAATAGCACAAAGGATGTTTTTCATATGGCAAGGACATAGTTTATTGCCAGTGCTTCTCTCCATTTGTAGGATAATAACTTAAAAGAGACAGCCTTCTGGGTTCATTAGCCAGCATCATAAATGTAATTCCAGTTTGCTTAATGCTCCAGGTAGAGCAGAATTAGATAAATTTGTATAGTTTATTAAATTCTTTACTAATGTAGGGCATAAATGTGTGGAAGCACAGGAAGCTTAAAGCACTTTTGTATAATATTAGATTTTTGACAAATGAAGCTTTGATCAGCTCCCTATTTACTTCATAACTTATTAAGACTTTTTTTGCAGTGGAAATAAATTGGAATCTACCTATTTTCCTTCAGTATTTATCTATTTTCCTTCAAGAGCAAATATGGGGGTACGCAAGGGAGACAAGCACAGAGGTACTGCTGCATAAGCAGAAATCTACTTGCATGATGCTGATTCTAGCCCCTTGGAAGTAAAATATTTTATCGCTTAACTTCTAAACTTAGTTGAGTATTTTTGAGATACTAAGTATTTATCATTTTTGTATACTATCTCAATTACTAGGACCCATTTACAGCAATCAACTCGCACAACAAAATTGTAATCATTAGAAAGCATAAAATAAGCAATTATTACCCAACAACCATACTATGGGCCCAGGGCTACTGGAATATAATAGTTTTGCCTTTTTAAGCAAAAGTAGAGATGCAGTTATCCTACTTCCAAAGGCGAACTAATCCAGAGTGTAGAGAAGAAAGGCTGGGGAAGACTTGATGTCTTATTTATTGTTTATATAGCTGCCCATCTCACTTTTACATGACACTATGTGGCTTACAATAAAATAAATTACATAAAATATACAACATAAAAAATAAAAATAAAATACATAACATTGAAGCATTATCCAACCAATCATCCACACGGCCAGGAAAGGGGCTCTATCCAACATCCAGGGCCCTAGGCTCAGGCACAAAACCAAGTTTTCAAGGCCTTAAGAAAGGCCAACAGGGACGGGGCCAATCTAATCTCAGGGTGGATGATACTCTAAAGGATAGGTGCCATGGCAGAAAAGGGTCTCCTCCTGGGCTCCACCAACCAATACTCCAATAAGCCAAACGTACCAGAACACACCCCTCCTGCCAGATCAGATAGGACAGGTAGAGACTATTGGGGTGAGATGGTCCTGTAAGTACACCAGTCCCAAACCATGAAGGGCATTAAAACTAACAAGTGGAATTGCACTCAGAAGTATACTGGAAGCCAGTGTAGCTCACGGAGCAGTGTAGTGTCACACTGAATAACCAGTGCCAGTAACTGCACCAGTTGAAGCTTCTGAATACTGTTCAAGGGCAGCCCCATTAAAGCACATTGCAGTAGTCCAGTCTGGAGGTCTCAAGGGGATGTCCCAGTCCCGCAGACCTCCTAATAGGGTAAGATTCTCTATAGTCATTCCCTAGATGCCTAGACCAAAAGGCAAAACCATGCTTAGTAAGACAGTTCCCGATAGATCCTGGTACTATACCACAGAGGTTTGATAGGTTATAACTAGCATTTTGATTTGGGCCCAGAAACCTACTGGCAGCCAGTGCAGCAACCTAATAGGTGTATTATGCAATACTGTAGTGGTTTCCCTAGTTAGAAGCCTAGCCACTGCATTTTGCACCAACTTCAGGCTCAACTTCATAATTGCATAGCCATAGTCCAATATTGTTGTAATCAAGATTCCACAGCATCTCCACCTCTTCCCAGGATGGCAGTAAACAACTGTCATCAGCAAACTGATAATACCTCCCCCAAACTGAAAGATGAGCTCTTCTAGTGATTCTATATAGGTATTAAATAACATAGGGAGTTGGAGCAAGCTTTATGAGACCCTGCACTAAAGTGGCCAAGAACGTGACTGCTCATCTGTTACAACTGACTCAACCCATCCATTTAAGCAGGAATGGAAACACTGTAAAATAGTGCCCCCCACTCTCAACCCTTACAGTTGTCCAGCAGGCTATCATGGTCAATGGTTATCAAATGACATTCAGAAGTCTAACAGAACACAGAGGAGTGAACTCCCACCCAAACGCCTGACAAAGATTATCTGCTACAGCAACTAATGCTATTTCTGTCCCATGACTTGGCCAGAATCCTGACTAAAATGGATCCAAATAGCCACTTCCTCTAGAATCATCTGTAGCTAATTCCCTACTATCCTACCCACAATCTTCCTCAAAAAGGGAAGGTTTGAAATGAGGCAAAAGTTGTCAAATACAGATGGCTTCTTTAGGGAAGAAATGCAAACCACCACCTGTTTCAGAAGAGGCAGTATAATCCCTTCCCTCACTGAACATCTCTTGAATCTAACTGCTCATACCCTGCCCACTGCCTACAGGTAGCAGAACTCATTAGAGAACCCTCTCCACTTTCTCAGGTTCCACATGCCCAAAAGAATCCCAGATCATTTCCGTCACTTCACTTGGACCTGTCTAACTAAGACCTAAATCTAAGGAATTATGAGTGACTGCAAGAAAACCAGCAGAATCATTCTGATGGCCTGCAGCTGCTTTGTTGCATGCATCCTCTCCTAAATGGGTCTGTGTCACCTAATAAGGCCACTAGTCAGGAGTTGGCATCATGGTTGTTGCATGACCAGAAACCTGGGTAGCAGATTTCTGTCAGGTTTACTTCTTCATCATTGCCCAGCCAGGTCTAAGTAATACACAAAGGCTTTCCCATCCTCTACCATGTAATAGATGGATGCAGACTGATTGTGTACAGACCTGACATTTACCAGTAGCAACTGGAGACCAAGGCATTTGATAATCTGGCCACTTGAGCCTGGGGAGGCAATAGCTTAGGAGAGACTTGCATTAATGTCTGGAATATCTGACCGAGTAACCTTTGATACATGCCTCTCTGTCCATCATAGTCCCATAACCTGCCCAGCATCTTGCACTGGCCAGTTTTCTGCCCTACTTCAATCTCCGTAGGGCCCTGATAAGCAAACACTTCATTAGCACTGGCCATATACAAGGTACTTCTGCAGGCCTAGCCTTGTTTTCACATGTACCACATGATACTTCTCACTCTACTCACAACCACCACTAATAATTATTCCTGACAAGACCTTCCTGTCAAAACATTTCTAACTCAAATACCCCCATTGTCCTCAAACCATAAAATTTCACTAAAAACCCTATCACTAGGACATGTTTGTAGGAAGAGAATCCTATACCCTCTGTTCTTTCATTACAAAGGGAGTTGTGAAATTTTCTCACAACTCCCCAGTTCCTATCTGAGGACTCTGTTCCATAAATCTCTGGCAATCCAAGTCCCTTTTCAGCCATCTGCTCCAGTTCCTCTTAGTCACTTGACCACTTCTGACCAGATACTGAAGCTCTCTGCAACCCCAACTCTTTCATTCAGCCCATCACACTAGCCTCTTTCCACTCTCTGCCTTTGTGGCTGTCTCTCTCATTGAACTCTCCAGAAATAACACTCCTACGGGATCAAAGCTGGGATCAGGCTCCTATACCAGTTCAATGTTCTTTTTGCACAACAGCAGAGCCTATACACTCCTCTTTCATCTTCCTGTGGGCACCTACATTAACAGCACTGCCACACAACTCACCAACTCTCATCATTTGCACCACAGCCCAAGGACTTGCCACCTTCTGGTCCAATCCAAGTGCAGATTCAGATCCACTTTTGAATCTCTTGTCCAGTCAGTAGTCCTTCCATATTTCATCTATGCAGTCTTACAATCTTCTCAATCCATCAATATCCAGTTTCTCCAGTTTCTATAATTTATGTATTACTTTCTCTACTTCCTTTTTCTTAATCCATCTTGCTTCCCACTATCCTGCCAAATAAAATTTTGCCTAACCATCCCCCCAAGTAAGAAAGACAAATCATGACAGCTAAAATGGCATGATTTGCAACCTGGCTGGGTGCAATTTTCAAAAACAAGTATAAATCTAGTTAAGATTTAAAGATTCTTTACTGATAACTTGCATTGCATACTGAAGCAAACATTAACTATGTTCCTAT